TAGGCTCAACACCTCCAGACGTAGCACCCCCAAGCTCAGCACCCCCAGGAGGAGCACCCCCAGGCGCAGTACCCCCAGGCTCAGCACCCTTTGTCTCAGCACCCCTAGGCTCAGCACTCCCATTAGTTCCACCCGTAGGCCCAGCTCCCCCAGGCCTAGCACCCACACGCTCAGCACCCCCAGAGTCAGCACCCCCAGGCTCAGCACCCCGAGCAGTACCAGAGTCACCAGTAACCTCAACCGGCTCGATTGCGTCTACCTGGGACACACCTGAAGGTGCACGACCCTGAGGGGGGAGGGGGTCTACCGGAGGGGGACCTGGAAGAAGAAAGAGCGGTGGCGGGGGGAGGGACGGAGTGCAGTAGGGGAAGAGGCGGTAGTAGGGAACCGACTCGTCAAATGTGACGTCAAGGGAGGACAGAACACGACGAGAGGTGGGGTGGTAGAACTGCCACCCTGGCGCATCAGGGGGGAAGCCAAGGAAGACGCAAGGAACAGCACGAGGGGACAGCTTGTCAGCAGACAAGTCGCGGACAATCGCACGAGATCCCTAGACATGGAACGCAGACGCATCACCTACCTTCCCTGTCCACAGCAAAGCTGGGGAGGTCTCCGGCATGGAGACCCTGGGGTGAAGGTTGATCTGATGCGCCGCGTACCGAACCGCAAACGGCTACAGAAAATGGGGGGCAGCCGCATGCATCATGGACGTATGGGCGATGTCCATGACCATGCCAATGCGGCGCTCAGCAATCCCATTTTGCTGTGGAGAGTCCGGAAGCGTAAAGGTCTGGCGGATGCCTCGCGCACGGCAGTAAGCTCGCAGAAGGCCAGAGGAGAACTCTCCGCCTCGGTCAGAGTGCACACGCAGAATAGGAAAGTCCGAGCTGAAGCTCCTCCTGAGCTGGAGACGAGCTGCGCGGATCTAGTAGATCAACACCTCAGTGACATCACCCTTGCTGCGCAAGGGGAAGACTGTGGTGTAACGCGAATAGTCGTCAACCACCAGCAAGAAGTAGCGCTTGTGACCCTGTCCACGCACGCGGGCCGGGCCCCACACGTCCATGTGAAGCGTCTGCAGCGGGGCCACTATCGGGGGAAACTAAGAGGAGTGAGGGGCAGCCTGCAGCCGCCCCTCGACACAGGGGATGCAGGAAGGGCCAGGCCCTGGAGGAAGGGGAGGGAGCGGCCGGGGAAGACCAGAGACAAGGACACGGGAGGCCATGCCTCGGAGACGAGGCAGGGAGGGGTAACCAAGGCGGTGGTGCCACAGGAGAGTCTCGTGAGACAGGAGGCGACACGAGCAGGGGGCAGACTCAGGACCATACCTGGACGCTGCAGCAAACATCTGACCCGACGCAGCTAGCTAATCAGACGCAGGGACAGGAGGAGACTCAGTGGTCAGGGTGTACAGGCTCGACCCCGGCCGACACGTCAACGTGGCCAGGTGCCGGCATGTGCGAGCGTCCGAGGAGTGGGTCACCCGCTGACTCGCAGGAGTAAACTGGTGAACCCCCGCATCCTGTAGGTCAGCACCACTCACCAAGTTCGTAGAGAACGAGGGGAGGTAAAGACCAGACAAGGTGCCAGAGGGGGCAGTCGGACACGGGAGGACAGTGGAGAAGTGAGAAAGGACAGGACCCCCAGAGGGGTCTGCCAGGGAGACTGCAACCGGCCGACCAAGTGGCGTGAGTGTGGTGCGGTCTCGAAAGAAGGAGCGAGAAGCCCCTGGGTCAAGTGTGAAGTTGAGGGAGGTCGAAGCCGACGCGGTACCTGAGAGCGCAGACTCACCAGCACCTTAGGACGCAGACGCACTGGTACCTAGAGCAGCAGCCTCACTGGCACCTAGAGCAGCAGCCTCACCAGTACCTAGAGCAGCAGTCTCAATGCCCGGGTCGGGCGGGAAACACCGGTAACAGTCAACACCGGTAACATTCACCCTCATCACTAATAGTCACAGCATACATGGCAGCAAGAATAGCATCAAAATCAAGATCAAAGATAGCTACACCCGCCCTAGACAGCTCACCCCAGCGGGGGATCTCAGTGGCCTCCGGGAACTGGTGACGCCAAGCGTCCGTCAGGCTGCCAAAGCAACGTTGGGCGGGGTGTGCACCCCCACACTGCTCACCTGCGCGGTCGTCGGTGCGTAGGACGTAGGTGCACGGACCAGCACCCCCACCACGCTGACGTGCAGCGTACCACTCATTGAGCTGCTGAGGGGGGGGGGATGTCCCGAGTGACTATGTAATAGAGAGTGATGTACATGGGGGGGGGGGTTCTTGGCGCAGAACTCAGCAGGAAGCGCAGCGCGGTAGCGAGTGTCACTAGTACGGAGGTGCGTAATGAGGTCAGCGACTGTGGGAAAGGCAGCAAGGTCAGGGAAGAGGTACGGTAGCATGAGGCGGCTCAATGCAGCAGTGGCAGGGGAAGAGTAGCGCGCAACTACAGCGTCGTACAAGGTCTGAGCACTCTTGTACTGACTAAAGTGTGCACGCTCAGTGGTAGGCAGGTGGCGACGCACAGCAAGACGTGCAGCAGCATCGTGAGTGGCCTACTATGAGCGAACAGTGGCGTCGGCATCGGCAGCAGGGGCAGGGGAGGCACCAGAGGTGAGGTCAAAGAGGGAGAGACCGTCTGCCCTATCGCACTGTAGGAAAAGCTGCAGGTCTTCTACCCAGACGTCAAAGTCAATGGCCCGACCCTCAGCGTCAAAAGTGAGAACACTGGGGGTAGCCATGACAGCAGTAGACTAGCAGCGCTAACTGTAGGGCAGGGGCAGTGCAGTGATAGAGGCGCTGCTCTCACCAGACAGGGCGGTTCGGGCAGCTCGGCAGCACAGAAGCTCGGCAACACGGCGGCGCGGGTGACTCGGGTGGCTCGGCAGCAACTGCGGCTCGGCGGCACCCGCGGCTCGGCTCCTTAGCTGCTCAGGCGGCTCGGGCTGCTCGGGCGGCTCGGGCGGCTCAGGCGGCTCGGGCGGAACGGGCGGCTCGGGTGGCTCGGGTGGTGCGGGCGCCTCGGCTGCGTAGGGCGGCAGGGCCGCTGGTAGGGCGGCGGGGCCGCTGGTAGGGTGGCGGGGCCGCAGGTAGGGCGGCGGGGCCGCTGGTAGGGCGGCAGGGCCGCTGGTAGGGCGGTGGGGCCGCAGGTAGGGCGGCGGGGCCGCTGGTAGGGCGGAGGGGCCTCAGGTAGGGCGGCGGGGCCGCTGGTAGGGCGGCGGGGCCGCTGGTAGGGCGGCGGGGTCGGTGGTAGGGCGGCGGGGCCGCAGGTAGGGCGGAGGGGCTGCACGTAGGGCGGCTGGGCCGCTGGTAGGGCGGCGGGGCCGCAGGTAGGGCGGCGGGGCCGCAGGTAGGGCGGCGGGGTCGGAGGTAGGGTGACGGGGCCGGGTCGCAGGTAGGACGACGGGGCCGGTACGCACGTAGGGCGACGGGGCCTGGGTCGGAGGTGGGGCGACGGGGCCGGGGTCGCAAGTAGGGCGACGGGGCCGGGGCCGGGACCGGGGCGCAGGTAAGGCGATGGGGCTAGGGCCGGGGCCGCAGGTATGGCGGCGGGGCCAGGGTTGCAGTAGGGTGACGGGGCCGGGGTCGCAGGTAGGGCGACGGGGCCGGGGCGCAGGTAGGGCGACGGGGCCGGGGCGCAGGTAGGGCGACGGGGCCGAGGCGCAGGTAGGGCGACGGGGACGAGGCTCAGGTAGGGCAACGGGGTCGCTAGGGCGACGAATCAGGGGCCGCTAAGGTGGCTCAACGTGGCCGCTAGGGCGGCTCGACGAAGTCAGAGAGGGGAGCGCGACTCGGGCTGAGCGCGCTCCGGGCAGGAAAAAAAAAAGATTCGACTTGGTGGGCCCTAGGCACAGTTCCCACGAGGGAACCTGCTCGATACCATGAGAAAAATGAAACGAGAATGACTGCACTAAGGAATGAAAGTGGTACAAATATGCAACCCTAGTAATGTGTACCCCATATAGGCTACCCCACTACAGCCTACACAACATTATGATTTGACAGAAAGCCCTTAGGATCTTTGCAGGACTAAACTCCTGGTAGGATTGATGTAACAACGGAAGCGTTTTATGAAAGATTTTGTGAACCACCTTGCACTGGTATGTGAGGTCAAAGTAGATTGATTAAAACAAAAGGACACAAACTTTTATAAGAGTACAAGGGAATATGAAGGGTTATAACTAATAACTGTTTTGGTGTTGCTGTTGCGGTTCGATACAGTGACGATTCGGGTAACTGCTCAATAGCGAGTCAGTTGTCTGTGCTTGCTGTCGCGCTGTACTTGTCAGGTCAAAGGTCGCTGGGAGGGAAACGATCCATGCTCGGCTGGGGGAGAGGTGAGGACGAGCAGGAGAAACAGGCTTGTTTTCAAGCCAGACCCAGCTGCATGAAACCCCATCACCGTGCACTGCACTCAGAACCGAAAGGCGGTGCGTGTTGGGAGCGGGGGGCACTACGACCACAGTGATGTGTTGCGCGCCCTCTACGAAAAGCAAATGCGCTGGCACAACGGGACAGCGCGTTGCCGTGGCTGTGGCTGGCGTCGGCGCTGACAGCCACCCAAACGACAAACGCCTGGCAGCATATGTCGCAGATACATGCCAGCGAGGCTGCACAAGGCAGTTACAGAGCTGTATAAGACACGCGTAATGAATGCGCGTGCAGTTACAAGGCAGCAATCGGCTGTACCTGTGGTGGTCCTGTCCTCTGGTCAACTGGGCCTATGGCCTAGTGGGTCAAGTTGTCGGTTTCAGACGAAACCGAACTCGCTGTCTGTATCCTCAGATAAAAAATTCTACACGTCTGAAAAAATCATACGAACTTAAAAGTCAAATCTTGCTGATCAGATGAGAACAAACACAAAATCTTAGGATTAAGATGAATACAAAAAAACCAGTCTTAAACGCAGACCATCAGACCAAATTGGTCTGATAACGAGAACCCTGAGAGTGATCTAGAGTGGGGACGAGATCGGATGAGATGTGCAGGAGGTCGAGGAACTCATATTCCCATAGCACCTCCCCATCGTAGGCGTAGTACTCCTGCAGTGAGCAGCAGCGTGAGGAGCATTGCAGGCAGAGAACAGTGAATGAGAGGGGTGCAGCAGACAATGGAGGGATGCAGAGAACAGAAGAGGTTGCAGGGAACAGTAGAGGGTGCGGAGAACAGCAGAGGAAAGGGGTGCAGAGAAGAGCAGGTGAAACGGGCGCAGAGAACAGCAGAGGAAACGGGTGCAGAGAACAGCAGAGGAAACGGGTGCAGAGAACAGCAGAGGAAACGGGTGCAGAGAACAGCAGAGGAAACGGGTGCAGAGAACAGCAGAGGAAACGGGTGCAGAGAACAGCAGAGGAAACAGGTGCAGAGAACAGCAGAGGAAACGGGTGCAGAGAACAGCAGAGGAAACGGGTGCAGAGAACAGCAGAGGAAACGGGTGCAGAGAACAGCAGAGGAAACGGGTGCAGAGAACAGCAGCAGAAAGGGGTGCAGTGCGGAGAACCGTGCGGAGAACAGCAGAGGAAAGGGGTGACTTACCTTGACTAGCTTGACTCACCTTCACTAGCTTGATTCACCTTGACTGGCTTGACTCACCTTGACTGGCTTGACTCACCTTGACTGGCTTGACTCACCTTGACTGGCTTGACTCACCTTGACTGGCTTGACTCACCTTGACTGGCTTGATTCACCTTGACTGGCTTGACTCACCTTGACTGGCTTGACTCACCTTGACTGGCTTGACTCACCTTGACTGGCTTGACTCACCTTGACTGGCTTGACTCACCTTGACTGGCTTGACTCACCTTGCCTAGCTTGACTTACCTTGACTATTTTCACTCAACCACATCAACTCACCTTGACCACAAACTCCAGCTCATGCATGGTGGTGCGTTCGATTCGAAACCAGAGATGGAGAGGGGGAAGGATGTCAGCTTACGAGTTGACTCATGAAGTGACTCGCATCGTCTCGCCTTGACTGCATTGACTCCACCTTGAATGCGTTGACTCACCTTGACTGCATTGACTGACCTTGACCACAAAGACTGGCTGCATGGTGGTGCGTTCAAGGCCGGAGATGGTGAGGGAGAAGGATGTATCTGCTGCCAGCATGTCGTTGAGGGAGAGGCCATGCAGAGGACTGGATTCGTCCACTATGTGCCACAGCATGAAGCCAAAGCGCATGTAGGGCAGCTGGAAAGACGGAAGGAGGGGGGGGGGGGGGGGGTGGAAATGTGTGTATCGTCAACAAGGGGCACTAGACAGCAGGTCCCTCCGCACTGGGCGCATGACTAGCCCGCTCCACGAGAGGCCGTGCAGTGCAGGAGAAAGGGAGGTATCAACCGAGATGATCCCTGCAAGACAGGACTTTACCAGCTCATCGCACGAGCTCCATGTCATATATTGACAAGGAATTATGAGTCGACTCAAAAGTTGACTCATCGCACGAGCTCCTTGTGATGCATTGAGTAATTGACAATGCTGGAGGCAGGTTAAGTGGCATCATGGCATCACGGCTCCACGGCATGGCATGGGAGAGCACAACATTGCAAGCAACTGCGTCATGGTATGGCATGGCATGGAACGGCATGGCACAGAATGACATGGCATGGCATGGCACGGCACAGTATGACATGGCACGACATGGCATGGCACGGCATGGCATGGCACGGCATGGCATGGCACGGTATGGCATGGCACGGCATGGCATGGCACGGTATGGCATGGCATGGCATGACATGGCACGGTATGGCATGGCACGGTATGGCATGGCACGGTATGGTATGGTATGGCATGGCATGGCATGGCATGGCACGGCATGGCACGGCATGGCATGGCACGGCATGGCATAGCACGGTATGGCATGGCACGGTATGGCATGGCACGGTATGGTATGGCATGGCATGGCATGGCATGGCATGGCACGGCATGGCACGGCATGGCATGGCACGGCATGGCATGGACATAAAAGCTTCATAGTGACTGACCTCGGATCTCACTAGCTGCAGGTTGTGGAGACAGCAGTGCACCTCCCCGGAGGGGGAGGGGAGGAAGAGGCGCACGGAGAGTGCAAGTTTTACGTTCACCAGCTCGTGAGAGTTCAGCCCTACCAGGGCAAACCGTGCAAGAGGAAATAGAAACGGTGAAACTGAGAAGAGCAAGCCTTTGCACCTCAGGAACTGAGAGAGCGCAAGGCATATCATGATGAGGTGACTTTTGACTCGACTCAAGAGGAATTTGCAGCGACTCCTTGCTTTCAAAATCCAGTTGGACTGCAGTCTGTCTCCCTCCCTTCACTTTCGCCCTCTCTCTTCACTGTCTCTCCTCGTGACTGCTCACCTCTACTTCTCAGTTCCATGAACAGTCATCTCTTCAACTCCTCACCTCTTCACCTCCTCAACTCCTCACCTCTTCACCTCTTCAACTCCTCACCTCTTCACCTCTTCAACTCCTCACCTCTTTACCTTATCACCTCTTCATCTCCTCGCCTCCTCACCTCCTCACCTCCTCGCCTCCTCAACTCCTCACATCCTCACCTTCTCACCTCATGTCCTCGCCTCCTCACCTTCTCTTCTCAGTGCCATGGCCGGTCACGGCCTGAGTGGCAAGGGTGACGAAGCGAGAGCACCGAACTGTCTCTGCTGGCCGGCCGAGGCGAGCAAAGACTGGTGAGAGGAGAGGAGCAGAAGAGCAGTTGGGAAAGCAAAAGTGGGAAACGAGATCACAAGGCATGAGCACCACATGGTCTCTTCTAGGCAGGTAATGCTCGCAACTATTAGCAAGCGATGGGGTGAGGAACGGGAGAAAGCAAAAGGGAGCACTGCACAGCACCGCACCGAACAGCACAGCACAAAATAGAAGAGCAGAAAAGAGCAGAGCAGAGCATGCAATCATGCACACACCAGCTCCAGTGAGAGAGTGAGTGAGTGAATGAGTGATGAGGACACAACACAGCAGTTTCACGAGAGAGCGAGGAGACCACCCTCACACACTCATGCTCCCCTCTGAGTTACGAGATGCCTCAGAACAAACCCTCGCTTCCTTCCTTCCGAAAACTCTCGAAAGCTCAAGCACGTGCTCCAGCAAAGCACCATACACGCAGAGCGCCCTCACCTCCCAACGCCTCAGAACCATCATGCACACACGAGCACCCACCTGCACCGCTGAGGAAGACAAAGAGTAGCTGCGAGAGCAGCGTGAGGAGGTTGGCAAGCATGAGTGCAGAGGGCGAGAGCACCTGCAGATGCAAGCCTCCAAAGGTGGTGCAGAGAGAGAGACTGGAGAGAGGGGAAGAAGAGAGGGAAGAGAGAGGTGCGGACGGTTCATGCACTCATGAACTCAGGAGGATACAAGGGCTAGACAGCATGCTCACAAGAAGATGGAGCAGTGAGCACCCACATGAAGAGGGAGCAGTGAGCACTCACGGAAAGAGGGAAAACTCATGCGAAGAGGGAGAGACAGACTGGCTCGTGCACACATTCACTCATACACTCATGCACTCATGCACCCATGCACCCATGCTCTCATGCACTCGTGCACTCATGCACCCATGCACCCATGCTCCCATGCACTCGTGCACTCATGCACCCATGCACTCATGCGCCCATGAGCCCATGCACCCATGCACCCATGCGCCCATGAGCCCATGCGCCCATGCACCCATGCACCCACGCACCCATCCACACATGCACGCACCCATGCACCCATGCACATGCACTCATGCACTCATGCACCCATGCACCCATGCACCCATGCACCCATGCACTCATGCACCCATGAACCCATGCACCCATGCACTCATGCACCCATGCACCCTTGCACACATGCACACACCCATGCACCCATGCACTCATGCACCCATGCACCCATGCACCCATGCACCCATGCTCTCATGCACTCGTGCACTCATGCACCCATGCACCCATGCTCTCATGCACTCGTGCACTCATGCACCCATGCATTCATGCGCCCATGAGCCCATGCACCCATGCACCCATGCGCCCATGAGCCCATGCGCCCATGCACCCATGCACCCACGCACCCATCCACACATGCACGCACCCATGCACCCATGCACATGCACTCATGCACTCATGCACCCATGCACCCGTGCACCCATGCACCCATGCACTCATGCACCCATGAACCCATGCACCCATGCACTCATGCACCCATGCACCCTTGCACACATGCACACACCCATGCACCCATGCACTCATGCACCCATGCACCCATGCACCCATGCACCCATGCACCCATGCACCCATGCATCCATGCACTCATGCACCCATGCACCCATGCACTCATGCACCCATGCACTCATGCACCCATGCACCCATGCACCCATGCACCCATGCACCCATGCAATCATGCACGCATGCACTCATGCACCCATGCACTCATGCACCCATGCACTCATGCACCCATGCACCCATGCACTCATGCACCCATGCACCCATGCACCCATGCACACATGCACGCACCCATGCACACATGCACGCACCCATGCACCCATGCACTCATGCACTCATGCACCCATGCACCCATGCACTCATGCACCCATGCACCCATGCACCCATGCACCCATGCACTCATGCACCCATGCACCCATGCACACATGCACGCACCCATGCACCCATGCACTCATGCACTCATGCACCCATGCACCCATGCACCCATGCACTCATGCACCCATGCACCCATGCACTCATGCACCCATGCACCCATGCACCCATGCACACATGCACGCACCCATGCACACATGCACGCACCCATGCACCCATGCACTCATGCACCCATGCACCCATGCACCCATGCACCCATGCACTCATGCACCCATGCACCCATGCACTCATGCAATCATGCACCCATGCACCCATGCACCCATGCACTCATGCACCCATGCACTCATGCACCCATGCACCCATGCACACATGCACGCACCCATGCACCCATGCACTCATGCACTCATGCACCCATGCACCCATGCACCCATGCACTCATGCACCCATGCACTCATGCACCCATGCACCCATGCACTCATGCACCCATGCACTCATGCACCCATGCACCCATGCATCCATGCACTCATGCACCCATGCACCCATGCACCCATGCACCCATGCACCCATGCACTCATGCACCCATGCACCCATGCACCCATGCACCCATGCACCCATGCAATCATGCACGCATGCACTCATGCACCCATGCACTCATGCACCCATGCACTCATGCACCCATGCACCCATGCACTCATGCACCCATGCACCCATGCACCCATGCACACATGCACGCACCCATGCACACATGCACGCACCCATGCACCCATGCACTCATGCACTCATGCACCCATGCACCCATGCACTCATGCACCCATGCACCCATGCACCCATGCACCCATGCACTCATGCACCCATGCACCCATGCACTCATGCAATCATGCACCCATGCACCCATGCACCCATGCACTCATGCACCCATGCACTCATGCACCCATGCACCCATGCACACATGCACGCACCCATGCACCCATGCACTCATGCACTCATGCACCCATGCACCCATGCACCCATGCACTCATGCACCCATGCACTCATGCACCCATGCACCCATGCACTCATGCACCCATGCACTCATGCACCCATGCACCCATGCATCCATGCACTCATGCACCCATGCACCCATGCACCCATGCATGCACCCATGCACTTATGCACCCATGCACCCATGCACTCATGCACCCATGCACCCATGCACCCATGCACCCATGCACCCATGCACTCATGCACCCATGCACCCATGCACCCATGCACTCATGCACCCCTGCACTCATGCGCCAGGACGCATGCACTCATGTAAAGACAAGGATTAGACAGCACACACTCATTCACATGAGAGGGAGCATTCATATGAAGACAGAGAAATGCAGAGCCACCTACTGGTGCTGCTCCACGCACATGCATCTATGCACGCGGCAGTGCAGCACACACACACATGCACTCATGTAAACTTACAAGAAGGGCTGGGGCCTCAGACAGCACGCACACTCACTCACGCGGAATGGGAGAAGAGAACTCACGCTAAGAGAAATAAGTGCAGCACGACATGCAGCTGCTGCCCCACACGCAGCAGCGCAGCACACACCCAGCGATCTACATGGGCAAACGAGTCGAGTTTTTCCTCGCCTCGTTCGAGGGACTCGAAAAGCTCGAGTTTCGAGTTCGTTTTTTTGTTGGAAAAACTCGGACGCCCGAGTCGAGTTTCACTCGCGAGTAAAAAAAAGCTCGCGGAAAACTCGGTTTTTCCATGAGTTTTTTTACTACTCGCGAGTTTTTTAGACTCGCGAGTTTTTCCTATCCAGTTTCGAGCTTAAAAAAACTCGCGCGTCACCTGGGTCAGATACAAATGTAAAAAATGTTCATTTTTCAGATCTGGTTTCCAAGATCTAAAAGGAACCACCATTTCGTAGGGTAGTTTCTAGGTGTTCTACCACACCTAGGAGCGTCCGCTCAGCCTACCTGTTCTTCTTAAACAAAATCGTGTTTTCCTAGGGTTTCAGTCAGGTGGAAGGCTAATGACACCCGCAAGCATTGTAACACACTTCAATTTCGGACCCATGCGTCTTCTCCCCTTGAATTAGACTAAGTTAAGGTGAAAACAGCTAATTTGCACGGTTGGTTTTGGAGTGACTGCGTGGAATAGCATGGTGCGTGGTAGATCGGGTGCAGGGAGAGGAGGGAGAGTACGTGGCGGAGGCGGTAGGGGGGCAGGACGAGGTGGTGAGGGTGTCAATGGAGATGACATCGAGCTCCACGCCCTCCCCAGATCGGAGCAACGCCGTTATCAAGCCATTGTAACAGCTGCGGACGCTGCAAAGGTGTTGCAAGCGTCCGCCAAGGGTGGTGGGCGGGGTAGAGACAAGGCTTCAGGGGGTTCATCCGCCGCAGGTACATCTGCAGGGGTCGAGCAGGGGGCGGTAGGGGACGTTGCTGTCCCCATGGTGCTGGGTCTGCCATGGCTGGAATGGGGGTTTATGGGGCACGGCAGGCGGATGATAACCACAAGGGTGGGGGGGTTGGGGGCGGCGGACCCATGCCTCGGGAGGAGGTGGAGGCGGGGAAGGCGGAGGGATTGCGGAAGGCGTGGGGGGAGGCAGCAGGGGGGGTTGTAACAGAATGGTTTAGCAATGCATTCATGGAAGAGTTGTCCGACCAAGTCATGAGGGAGAGTGAGGGTGGGAATGATATTTATGTAAAGGGGGGAGGGGAGGAGCATGTGGATGAGGCAGATGAGGAGGAGGAGGAGGAGGAGGAGGAGGAGGAGGAGGAGGAGGAGGAGGAGGAGGAGGAGGAGGAGGAGGAGGAGGAGGAGGAGGAGGAGGAGGAGGAGGAGGATAAGAAGGTGACAAACTCAGAGGAAGAGATGTACAATGCTGAGGATGATGAGGTTGAGGAGGATAGGGAAGAGGACTTTTCTGGAGTGGAAAATGAGGAAGAGGGGGCCACAAAAACACTACGAGGTCTACAACGGGCTACAAAGGCGGATGCGAAGGGGAAACGTGCTATGGCCGACCAGGAACCTTCTAAGAAGCGTGGTGGCAGATTGAGGCGGGGTCGCGGTGGGGGAAAGGTTGGAAGAGCGGGTGGGAGAGCGCGTGGAGGAGGGGGACGAGTTGCAAAGAGGGGGGCTGGTGGGAACGGAGGCGTGGGTTGTTCTCAGTCACGTCCACCACCCAATGCTGCTCCTATCGCGCCTGCGGCTGTGGTTAAACCAAAGGCCGCCAAAAAGCCTAGAAAGTCCCGTTCAGCTGCAACACCATGTTTCGAGAATTTAGGCGCCAAGGACGAAAAACGTCATTGTCGCAAGTGCAGCAAGCTCATTTCGTTCGCGGGCAGTAACACATTGACTGGGGAGAACCACATGCTTGTCAAGCACAGGGCACACTGGGACATTTGGTTTATGAAATGGAATGCCGGTGAGATTCTAGAGGGTGAGGTGTTCCTTGAGGGTGGGTACGGAGGTCCCAATGAAGTACCCGATGGAAGAAATCCATGGCCTGGTTCAGAAACATGGCCTGCTCCCCCCTTCGACTTCGGGTCAGAGCGATCAGGGCAGCAGAGCATGACGAAGTACACTGCGCCGGGTGTGAACAAAGAGGTGCTGTGGCAGGCCATAGTGGAGTTCTTCGTGGCGGCCGACCAGTCATTCTGCACCGTTGATCATCCGAGCGTAACTGCAACAGCAGACCCCTATCCCTTGAGATGTTGTTGTTGTGTGTGCAAAGATGTTCCCCTTCTCGTCCGCACATAAACCAGCCCAACTCCCTCCTTTTTCATCGTCAAAATGTTGCAGTTCCGCCGCATGATGAACGCGGCCAACTCGCAGTGTGGGGTTCAGGGGGTGATCCCAACGCGATACACGCTAGCGAGAGCCATCGTTGAGATGGCCAAGCTAGCAAGGGCGAAGGGCAAGGAGTTGTAACACGCCGAAGGGGTTGGGGCGGTGTCGCTGACATGCGACATATGGACGGGGGAGAACCATAGAGGGTATTTAGCGGTGACGGGGCATTGTGTGGATGCCAACTTTGAGCTCAAGCAGTACACGCTTGCGTTCATTGCTTTGCCATCAAAACACACGGCGAAGAAGATCGCTGAGCGGATTGAGGCAGTGTTGGTGGAATGGGGGCTAGAAGAGAGGACCATGGCGTTGACAACGGACAACGCCAGCTTGAACGTGGCGGCGATGGAGATCCTTATGCGCGAGGGCCCGGCGGAGATGCCCTGCTTGTTCAAGACCGGGATGCACATCCGGTATGACCCTTGCATCCGCTTGTGTTCATGCCTGGTCCCTCGTTCACCTGTTAGTGTAGACCCGGCACAAACAACACCGTACATCTGAGATACTCCCAACCAAAACCAAAACCACACCTCATCACCCAACAGGTGCCTTGCCCACGTTTTGAACTTGGCCATTCAGTTGGCTTTGAAAAACGTGGATGAAATCAAGTTGCCACTCACCTTGCTCCGCGAGCTGGCGTCCTACATCGGCTATTCGCCACAAAGGACGACCCTCTTCGAGGCGGAGCAGGAGGTTTGGCGACCACGGAAGCAGTACATGCGCCTGCGGCAAGACAATGAAGTGCGCTGGGGTTCCACCCTGCAGATGATCTTGCGCGGGCTGGACCTGCGCGATCCAATTGAGTCCTACATTCGGCACACAGTTGTGAGCATACCCTCGCCCACCCGCCTTGCTAATTCAGCCGTGGGACGTGGGCTGGACTCTGATTTTTGGCCAACACAGTAGTACCCGCCCCCCAATCCTTGCCTCCCACTTGTACCCGCCCCCCAATCCTTGCCTCCCCCTTGTACCCGCCCCACTCGCCTTCACAGGCCAATGCTCCAATTGATGCGCCACCGCTGCGCCTCATGGCGCTGCGCATTTCTGCTGAGCAGTGGGACGCGCTTGAGGAACTTGCAAAGTTCCTCATGCCCTTCAACGTTGTAACTTTGGCAGCGGAGGGGTCCCTGTACCCGACTGCGAGCCGGGTGGTGCCGCAGTACAATGAGCTTATGGATTCGCTCGAGAAGATCAGGGACAGCACCACCTCCCCTCCCTCCGTGATCATGCGGAAGTGCATCGACGCTTCCTTGGGCAAGCTGCAGGAGTATTACTACAGCAGCAGTGATGAGCTGTGTGTCGCTACCTTCTTGGACCCGGCATTCAAGCTCGGGTACTTTGAGCTCGAGGACGGGAGCAGCAACATGGGCAGGGCGGTATCTCACGTGCCCTCGGAGGAGGTACTGGCTCTTGTGCGTGCGAAGTGGCAGCCATACAAGGAGAAGGTGCGGCGCGAGCGAGAGGCGGGTACTGGGAAGGGAAGAGGGGAGTTGATGGTGGTGGGCTTGGGCGGGACTAGCAGCACAGCGGCTGGGGGGAGTGGCAGCTGCAGCGGGACGACTCGGGGGGGCCTGAACCTGTTTGGGGGCCAGAATCATGATTCGGGAGGACGCGTGGCACGCCTGGCGGCGTTGCGTGCGAAGCAGGCAGCAGAGAACAAGGATGAAATCCAGATTTACCTTGAGGAGCCCATGCAGCCCCTATCCACAAACCCCCTTGCATACTGGCGTCGTAGGGGTGATTTGGAGGGGCTGCAGGCTATGGCAAAGGACTACTTGACCATTCCAGCCACCTCTGCTGCCAGTGAGAGGCTCTTCTCACAAGGCAGGAACCTCATCACATGGCAGCGGCACAGGTTGGGTGCTGAACGCGTGGAGGCATGCATGACCTTGAAGTTATGGATCGCTTCGTTCCCGGGCACCCCATTGGGAAAGGCCGCCAAGGTGGCCATGGTGGATGACAAAGTGGGAGTGGACCTGGATGAGGAGTTGTGAGCGAAGGGCCCCATTTTTGCATGTTCAGATCAGGATAGTAGACATCTTTATTTATTAGACTAGCTATTCTCTAAATTAATCTCCCCCTCTGACGCTCACCAGGGCGCTAGACCTGGCCTTTCTTCTCAATATGCTTGGTACATTGCTGCTGGTTTGTAACCGTTGTCTAGGTTTCAGCAGGTGCTTGAATGCGTGGCTTTTATCTGCGGGAGTGGGCTGCTGGAGGTGTTTCCCCAAACCTCTTGTCAGGACACTATTGCAGCAGGCGTTGTGCAGCACGGTTGGGGTGTGAAAGTGTGGGGGTGATGTAGGGCTGGAATGCTGGTGGGTGTTGGGTTGAGGGATGTCGACCTCAAAATTGTAGTTGCTATGTTGAGTGGGTGTGGATGGACCTTATTTCTGTGCACCCTCTAGCTGGTGCTGTGTGGCTAAAGTGGTGGCTGTGGGTGCTGGTTAAGTTCGAGTTGAGTTTTACTTGACTCGAACGAGCTTTTTCAAAACTTGTACGAGCTTTTGAAAAACTCGATATTATGGGCGATTTTCGAGTTTGATTTTTGGCCAAAAAAACTCGACAATTAAAACTCGACTCGACTCGAGTGTAACAAAAAACTCGCCAAAACGAGTCAAGTTTTACTCGACTCGCCAATTGCCCATATATACCCAGCGACACGACACACAGAGTTGGAATCAAGCCCGCAACCCACATGAAGATGGAACACTCACGCGAAGAGGAAGAAATGCAGAGCCACATACAGCCACTGCCCTGCACGCACGACCACAGCACACATCCAGCACATCGCCACCGCCGCCGGTCCCGCCCTGCTGGCGCGCTCCCATTGGTCGAGAGGCAGGGCGAGCGGGCCGGAGAGGATAGTGTGGATGTCGAGGGAGTGAAACTCAGGGCTGTCTGGGGGGGAGGCGAAGCCGGAGGCGAGGGCGAGGAAGAGCGGCGTGAAGAGGAGCGCGAGGAGCACTGGGGCTGCCATTATCAGCAGCACGAACACCATGTTATGCAGCTGACAGTGAGGGGCATGAAAAGACCAGGGGGGGGGGGAGGGGGGGGGAGAGGGGGGGGTATAGGTAGCGTGGATGGACAATGCCGACGTGGGGTTAGGGGGAAGAGGAAAAGAGGGACCAAGGCGAGATCAAGAGATGAGGAGGAGAGACAGTTCGTTTTTTTTTTTTTTTCTTTCTTTCTTTCATCCAACTCCAAGGCATCTCCTTACCACACCCCCATCAACTCCCCCCCCCACAACTCGTTATTGCACACTGTCCACTTGGCTCACCCTGAGCAGCCAGTTGTACCAGTGGCTGAGCCACGTCAGCACTGACGCCTGCTGCTTCACTGCCAGCTTGGACCGTGCCCGCCCGCATGGGACGAAGAAAGGCGGGGAGGAGAGCGGGTGTCGTGAAGGTGGCATCACAGGTGAATCTGGTTCCTCTCCCTTCAAAAAGACTTGCTCTCTCTGCTCTTCATGTTGCTGTCCTTGCCTCTCCTCTCCCTGCTGCTTTGCCCTTTGTCGCAGCAAGCCCTGCTGCTACTGCTGCTGCTGCTGCTGCTGTTCTCCCTCCTCTGCCGCACACCCCTTCCCCTCCTGCTTCCCTTCTCCCACTCCACAAGTCCCCCGAATCTCCCCACAGGCACCGTCTCGGAAGCTTCCTCTATTGTACCGATGAGCGATCTGTGCCATGTAGTCACAGACGGACGGCGCGGGGAGCTCCTCAGGCACCTCTGAGGGCGGCGGCGGGTGGCGAGGATTTAGGTTTGGCACGCCAGGGCTGGCGTTTCTTGTCTTACTCCGAGCGTCGTTCTCATGCTTCTGTGATGGGCCGGCGGCGCTTGTCTCGTCCTGGGGTTTCAGGGCTGTCAAGTGCGGTAAAACTAAGTCCTGGGGGAACACAGAGAGCTGAGGGGTGGGTGGAGGAGAGGAAACGGAGAGCGGGGCGGGATGCGGGCGGAGGGGGGGAAGAGGGGGAACGGGATGATGGTTGGAAAAGCTTATGTGAGGAGGTCAGGCGGGAGGGGCCCGGACAAGAGGAAGACGAGAACATGTGGCAGTGTAGCTGTGTTGGGAGTGGCGTTGATGCCCGTTGTTTGCGCTATCGTTGCCGTGCATACTACCTCGCGCGCGAGATTCACGGCTGACGGCGAAGCATGAAGCGACGCTACTGGGTAGTCGTGGTCCTCGCCCTCCCTCCCCGCGCCCATAGTGCTTCCCGCGTGCGCGCGACCAAGACAGCTACGCGGACTGCAGGTATTGCCGACGAAGAGCCGTATCGCTAAGAAATGGCTCTTTCGAAAAAAAATGAGTAACAGAACTTAAGATATAATGCACTAAAGGGTGAGGAATGAGGAGTCAGCGCTTGGAAATTATAATGCCCTACGGAAAACCGATTTTGCAAAAAGCGCACAGCGTTTGGCGAATGCTTCGATTTAGTCACTAACATCTCCCATGTGTTAGCATGTGTCCACACAAAGGAGCTTTTCAAGTTGGTTTGTATTGTCACTTTCGGTAACAGCTTGTTACAGCCCGAAAATGTACTGTCCTCCAAGTTTTTGTTGCCCGCCATCAACATCGAGCACCTTAGATCGTTCAGGCTCGCCCGCCAAACCGACGATCCCTGTCCGCACGAACTCGATCCCCGCAAGTGTCGAATACACAAATCCGATTTTGAATAGGCCCGTGGCACTTCCAGACCTCACTTCACGCAATTCACTCCCAAGTTACCATCCTTGCGAGATTGAAGCATGACTAGTAGAAGGTCCATGACAAGGAGGTAATCGCTGTGAGTCGAACCCGCACTCTACATGCGCGACCAGGGTATAGATTGGTTGACGAGATGGGGGATGACGTTGTCTTTCGCACAGCCTCGATGCCGCCATTGAGCGCGAAGTGGCGACACGAAACGTCAATATTAGGGTTCCCGTCGCGAAAACGAGGCCTTCGATCTGCGTTGCACGAATTTTCACTGTGAGTTGCACGGCGAGGAGCACGATGGCGAGACACGCGATATTTACGTGCCACCGCATTTTCAGTCGCAGCTTATCACATGCATCTAGTGTGTCTCCCTTATCGCATGCATCTAGTGTGTCGCAGTATCCCGCTTCTGCTTGCCGATGAGGCTGAACGACAGCGAGTACAGCTTTACGTGTGCAATGCCAACACTAGCTGTCTGCCACTCCCCACTACTCACTCAGCCTTTGCGCTTCCCACCTCCTCCCCCAATCCCTCCCCCTTCCCACGCCAGAAGCACCCTGCGCCGTACTAGCCGTGAGAAGCCTCTCATCTCCAAATTTCACAGACAAGAGAATGGCAGAGCCATGGGCTGCATTAGCAGCAGCAGCAGCAGTGGCGGTGAAGTCGGTCAACGGGGAGTGGGTGGAGGCGAGTAGCAGCAGAGTGGTGGCAGTGACGAGGCGGCAATGTGTCGACTTTGTGCTTTCTCAACACGTATGTCTAGTCCTCTATTCTAGTCAAACCCGCATAGCAGTAGTCACGCCATGAGGAAATAGGTTAGCGGACAAGCCAAGGTTGAAGTTGCTGCAGCGACATTTAATTGCCCACGGCTTGCGTTCGATCTCCACATCACCCCCCTCCCCCTTCTCTTCATTTTCCCTTCCTACATCATCCTGCATCCCTGTTTTCAGTCACCCAACCCCACCCCACATTCCCTTGTGCCTTCCCCACACAACCATTCCCCGCCGCCTCCCTCTGCCCCGTCCCCCCTCCCACTGCCCACCATGGTGGGGCGAGCCAGCACATGGCATCATCGCGTGCTGTGACTCAAGGTGCGGTCAAGCTCTGCTCCACCGTCTCGGCTCTCGCACAACCACATGTGGGCTTGCATCAAGCTCATCTGGCCTGCATCAAGCTCATCTGGCCTGCATCAAGCTCATCTGGCCTGCATCAAGCTCATCTGGCCTGCATCAAGCTCATCTGGCCTGCATCGGGATTGCTTGTCCTGCTATACGGTAAGCGAGGACAAGCCTGATGATGGGGCCACTGCACGCGACCTGCCTGCAGTTCCTCGGGATGAGGGAGGTGGAGGATGTGGGGCAGGATGGGAGGGAGGGGTACGGTGAGGTAGGCGTGAGCATGAGAAGCGGGTGACGAGACCAGCCCAGCACAGAGGAGGGCTTTTGAGTGCAGTCCTGCTTGCTCTGTCTCTGCACGTAGCGCTATCACAGCCTGGCTTTGACGCCTTTCTGGTTTATCGCTCTTCGCCTTCTCCTGCCATCCTCCTGCTAGCTACAGTCCTCCGTGTCCCCTCTCGTCCCTTGCTGTGACAGACGGTGGTGCTAGTGAAGGGCTTGCCTATAGCGCACAACCAGATGATAGGTGCTGGGCAGATCATTGATGCCTGCCGCACTCGCCCACGCACCACAGCCATTGTGGTTCCACACGAGTGAGTGCGTGGGATGCTGGACGCCGCGTATGTCTCCCTCATTGCCACGTGCCGCCGGGGGGCAGAACCCAACGAATGCAGTGACAGTGAGTGGGCTGGTGGGGCTGGGGGATATCATGGTGACGCTGCTTTGGCTCACGAATGAGACTGGTGGTGAGCTCTGATGCAGACGCAGACAGATTGAGGCAGGCACGGAGCATGCTTGAGTGAGGAGGACCTTGGGGAAGAGGAGGGAGAGGAGGACGGGTAGGGTCGTGAGGAGGCGCCTGAGCGTCATGGGGTGTGGATAAAAGCTTGGAATCGTGGTCAACTGTCACGTCTGAAGCAGGTCTGTGAGTACTGTGAAGCTGATAGGAGGAGGGAGTGGCAGTGGGACCCTGCCTGTCGCCAATTCTCTGAGCCAGCAGAAAGCGGGGGAGGCGTCGCTGCAGCGAAGAGGTAGCCAGAGCTTCAAAGCCTGTCAGAGAGGTCAAGGGATGTTTGACAATGGGGAGATATAGGGGTGGGGGGAGGGCAGTGAAGTGAAGTGACAAACGATGGAGGGAGGGATCTGTCGCGAGGGATCTTACTCTGCTGTTCTCGCAGCAGTGCCTTGTGGTGAACGTCATGCCGCCTTCCCACTACTCAAAAGCTGTGCGGCAGCACACTCTGCTGCTCTCGGCGCCCAAGAACCCCGACAAAATGACTCCAAGTATTATCTTGCACTTTCTGCGTGTGTGTCGCGCCATGATCTATTTTACAGACCATGCAGATACCAGACCCGACCTCGCCACAGGAATTGCGGGGTCCGCGTGCTCGTCCATCCCGGCCGTAAGCCCTTGGTGGCCAACATCACCCACTTTCTAGGTGCTGCTGCTGGCGCCGTGCCATTGCTACGGCCACTACCGCAGCCTCTTCTCATGCTGCGGCTGGGGGGGGGGGGGGAGGGGAGCAGGAGGAGCAGGTGGCAGGAGCAGGTAGCAGGAGCAGGTGGCAGGAGCAGGTGGCAGGAGGAGGTGGCAGGAGGAGGTGGCAGGAGGAGGTGGCAGGAGGAGGTGGCAGGAGGAGGTGGCAGGAGGAGGTGGCGTGGCAGGAGCGGGTGGCAGGAGCGGGTGGCAGGAACGGGTGGCAGGAGCGGGTGGCAGGAGCGGGTGGCAGGAGCGGGTGGCAGTGGGGCTGCTGGTGCTGCGGCTGGAGGAGAAGGCGTGTGCGATGAGCAAGTGGGAGGTGTTTGAGGCGTCTCTGCCAGTGCGATACTCACTGCTTTCCGTCCCTAGACGCACTGGACCAGGCCGCGTACCGTGCAAGTACTTTGAGTAGTAGACAGGCCTGGGTGTGGCATTGTGCACCTTGCGCCTCATGGGTCACGGCAACCAGTGGGTGTAGACGGAAGCGGTGAAGCTCGCGATAATCTGATTGCGCTCACAGTTGAGGGCAACAGCAAGGTGCAGGATCTGATCTGATCTGATGTATGCCGTGCTCGTGGAAGGCAGGCAGCTGTTCTTTACAGTGCATGAGGTGCTTGCTGCTGCTGCGTCTGCCACCATCAGGTTCTGCACAAGGGGCTGGACAGGCAGAAAGCACACAGAGTGCTCATGGCAGTGTTAATGAGGTTTTCCCCCCCTGCCGGTCGCTGTGCCCTTGCCAGCAGCAGAGGCCGTGGGAGCACCAGTCGGCCTGTAGTCGACTGAAGCAGTGCTGGAGCTTTCAGCTGGGCTGGGGTGCCCCAAGCCTGTGTAGGCAGGGTGTGATCCCTTCGTTAGAAGGCGAATTTGAGGAGCGTCAGCGGCAGCAGCGAGAGTGGGGAGGCGGCATGTGGCGGCAGGTCTGGCCCTGCCAGTGCAGGTGATGCCAAGGGCGAATCTCGTGACTCGTCTGTGCCCCGCCAGTGCATGTTCCTCTGCGCCGTGTCCTTCATGGTCACCCGCAAGCTGCCCCGCTCCGCTTCCTCCACCCTGCCCTTCCCCATGCCTCGCATCCTCCCGTCCATGCATGCTCATGTCACGTCTCGATCCAGTGGCACTCCTATGGGATTGCTTCGCTGCAGAATAGCCACATCTTTGCATCCCGCGTTTCCTCCCACCTAGATGCATCGTTGACTCGCTTTTCACATATCCATCCCCTCATCGCCTTTCATAAAACCTTTCGCTTTCTCCCAACAGCTCAATCGTGGCTGTGCCACTTCTCCCCGATCACGTCTCTCCCTTTCCCTGCCCTTTACCAATTGCAGCCCTTCGCGCATGCCCTTCGCTTGATCTCTTGCAGACATCGTGTTCAAGTACAATGGGGCAGCTGTTCTCAAGCATTTCAATGCGTTGTGGCGACACACAACAACTTTAGAGGAGAGTTGGACGAGCTGTTGGATCACTGCAGCACACACTGAATCAATTTCATCCTGCAAGTCTATATCCTGCATGCCACTCGAATTCATCCCTCTAGCTCCAGCGGATCAGCTCCTCTTCCTGTGTTGCCCTGCTGCCCTTTACAGCAGCCTGCTAGAGGTGGACCGCCTCAGATGGTGTGAGAAATAAGTGCTGAGGGGGTGGATATGATTGTGAGGAGGGAGGGAGACAATCACTTCAAGTGCACAGCAGCATGCACCACATCTGCCCTGATCTCGTGCTCAAACAGTTCCGCGTGCTTCATCTCCGCCCCACACCACTCCACCCGCCCGCCCCTTCATCTCAGCCAGCAGAACATTCTCAAGCAAGTCACCATGTGTGGTTTTGGTGTATACAGAAGAAGCCACTTGTCTCTTTAGATTTCAGTACAATTTCGCTGTCTTGTTTGATGGATAACATTGGGGCATCACCTCACCGTGAATCAGCATTATCAGTCATGCATCTCTGTGTCAATCAAGCATATAATAATCAGCATTATTATAGCACTAGCCACGTATTTATCAGTCTGGTAATAATCTGATGACCATTAAATGAAGCGTGAGTGCCATGCAAGCTTCTCACACAACTGTCAAACTATATATGTGTTAGTTTTGTGTGGGCTATAGTGGGGTAGCCCATATGGGGTACAACCCTAAGTTAGGGTTAGTACTTGTACCCACATTTCATTCAATGCAACATTCCTATTTGCTATCTTGACATGGTTTCAGAGCAGTAGGTCCATAGGACCGTTTTTTTTTCGGGCCCACCATACTTAGCTTCCGACTGCGGTTACCGCGTTACCCCACTACCCTGCGTCCAGGGCTGACGATATCAGGGTAATTACCCTGATTTCAGGGTGATTACAGGCTTATGACTTGGTGGTCCCTGCAAACACAGGTTTTGTATTTTGTGAACTCTGATCCTATCAGAGTAGCTACTTAACGGACTCTGAATTCTTGTAACTAGGCTCAGGGTAGTGTACTTGCCGAGTCTGTCAATGCAGAGTATGCGTTCCGTGGACCCTGAATGCGAGGGTATTGGGACGAAGTTTCCTAGAAGTTTCGTTTCTATAACCCCCTTGTGCGTAATCATTTCTTCGAGTGGCCCCTGTCAGAATCCCAACCACTAGACCATTGGGATAAAAGGGCTTGTTTCAGTAGCGGGTCAGTGCGCCCATAACCCCCCAGGCGAACGCGCCTGTAACCCTCTCCAGGATCAATCGGGCATCCACAGTGCAGATCTACTGACACCCCCCCACACTGGGAGGTCCAGGACTAAGCACAGCGGCAACGGCCTACATGTGCATACACCGGGGATCGAACCCGAGACCGCTCTGATACCATGTCAGAATCCCAACCACTAGACCATTGGGATAAAAGGGCTTGTTTCAGTAGCGGGTCAGTGCGCCCATAACCCCCCAGGCGAACGCGCCTGTAACCCTCTCCAGGATCAATCGGGCATCCACAGTGCAGATCTACTGACCGCCCCATGTGAGGTACATCACTCACGCGCCCGTGAGTGACGTAATACCGACAAAGGACACCACTTACGTGCTGTACATCACAGCTGTCAACCACGCCAACGCAGCCAACTCAATGAGACGGTGCAGCCACGCGCACCGCACAGTGCACAGCATGTGTCTGCCATTGGCCAGAATGGTCTGTAGACAGCATGCGGTGGCAGCCAAGGAGTCCGTGAATGAATCCGGCCTTGAATGCAAGGACGAATTCATCTAGGAATGTTGCCATCAAGTCCGTGGAATCGCGGCGCGGTGGTTTCGTGCTCCCGCCATCTCCAACCTCCCCTTCCCTCCCCATACCAGCAGCCAACGTTCCTTTGTTCACTAGTGTGTTATTTCCATTACGTGCCTTCATTGTCCCAATTTTCTCTCGTTCAGTTTAGCCACCAATGGAGGCCATGCCGGCCGACGAAGCTGCTCCGGACACTGGCCCCGACGAGCCGCCTGTAAGAGCGAAAACAACAGCGCCGTCCCATCCGGAGAAAGCTTCGGATGCTCCCCGCTCTGGGCTAGATTTTATTAGATCTACGGCTGCTCCCGTCACACCTGAACCGCCTAGGTCTACCGTTCACGATTCTGCCCTTGTAGTAACCCCTACTCCTACTGCTTCTCCTACTCCCGTCCCGTTCACTCTCCCTCCGGCTGTTGCTGGCTGCAGCAAAAATCCTCCACCGCCCTCGCCCAGTCTTACTCCAAGCACGGTGCGGGTGTCCGTTGGCCCGCCGTCGGCTACTTCCACTCCCAAGCGTGCGCGATCTGGAAAGTGGGCGCAGAGTACTGTGCTGGTGGGAGGCCGCCGTATTCCACCGCCGGAAAAGCCCGATGAGCCTGCACAGGAAGGAGCTGAGCTGCCGGAAGAAGGTGACATTGTCCGAATATTATCTTATTGTTCTAGCCTGTAATGGGGTGCTCTATAGCGAGTACAGCCCTTCTAGGGTTTGCTATTTGTATCCTCATTCTTGCTAGTTCAATCCTCTTTCTTCCTTCAAACTTTGACATGGTATCAGAGCAGGTCGATCCCCTTGGATCGATCCTGTGGGTGTGTTCCCACCTCGCTTCCGCTGCTACTTTTTCCTCCCACCGTGCGCCCCGAGGCGCGCGGCGGTTTTCTTCCCGCCGTGCGCCCCGAGGCGCGCGGCGGTTTTCTGCCCGCCGTGCGCCCCGAGGCGCGCGGCGGTTTTCTGCCCGCCGTGTGCCCCGAGGCGCGCGGCGGTTCTCTGCCCGCTGTGCGCCCCGAGGCGCGCGGCGGGCGTCTGCCTCGCGGCGTTCGCCGCGTCCCGCTCTGGAGGCGTCGCGACGGGCGACGGGGACCCGTCGCGGCCCCGCCGCCCCACTCCGGTCGCGGCCCCGCCACCTTCGGTCGCGGCCCCGCCACCTTCGGTCGCGGCCCCGCCACAGACCCGTCGCGGCCCCGCCACCTCCGGTCGCGGCCCTGCCGCCTCACGTCGCGGCCCAGCCGCCTTCGGTCGCGGCCCCGCCAACTCCGGTCGCGGCCCCGCCAACTCCGGTCGCGGCCCCGCCAACTCCGGTCGCAGCCCCACCACCGACCCGTCGCGGCCCCGCCACCGACCCGTCGCGGCCCCGCCGCCCCACTTCGCGGCCCCCCCCCCCCCCCCCCCCCCCCCCCCCTCTCCCCCCCCCCCCCATTTCCCGTCGTCCGTCGTGGCGACCTGAGGGGGCCGCTGTGGGGTGGCGGGTATGGGGGTGACCGGTGTACTTTCCTCCCTTTGCTCCTCCTCCTCCTTCGTCTCCCACTGCTGCAGCTGTCGCTGAGGGGGGTGGTTGTGTGGGAGACTGGGGTTTAGGGTTTAAGGGGGGTGCGTGGGAGTAGAGCTAGCGGTGTAGCAGTGGGTGTGTATCAGGGGGGTGGGACTGTGTGCGGGAGGATGAGCGGAGGTTGCCAGTTTGTCGTCAGCAGCACCTGTAGTCCGGGGCGCTGTCCCGGTAGCCCAGTGAGCTAGACTTCTACGCCAGCCGCCCGTGGGTCCGTTGCCCGTCTGCCGCTACTTGAGCCGCGGGGCCTGTTACTCCTGTAGTCCGGGCGCTGTCCGGTAGCTGCTGTGCCAGTCTGCCTCCTGTTGCCCGTGTGTCTGCAGCTTCAGCCGTCGCCTCCTATCTCCTCTCCCCTCACTCTCCCTCCTCCTCCTCACTTGCCCGTTGTGACTACCACTAGCTTTGCTTATAATTGTGAACTCTAAACTATTTCTTCTTGAACTTGTGCTCAGAATGTGTGGTGACATTGTGATCCACCCTGAGCTTGTATTGCTTTGCCTGCTCTGCTGATTACACCCCACTTTGGCTATGGGGGTGTGTCAGAATATTATCTTATTGTTCT